TCGGAATACATGGAGAAAGTATGAACGATAGAACCAACGAAGCAAAAGAATAACAATCAGTTAATCTGCCAAATGATATACAAATGCTTTATAGACTCCTCAGAACTCTTCTAAGAGTGAAAGGATAACAACAGCAAACATTGCAGCACCGTGTGGTGTAAGAAATGGGTTAAATGATGACAGAGTGCTCATTTATTGGCAAAGAAAGATACAGCTATTCTGTTTTGTTTTCTTAAAGGGAGAGGGAGGAGGGAACAGGAAGGACAGAGATGACAGACAGATAGATAGACAGGTGATAGATAGGTAGATAGATAGATAGATAGATAGATAGATAGATAGATAGATAGATAGATAGATGATGGATAGATGATAGATGAAGAAGAAGAAGAAGAAGAAGAAGAAGAAGAAGAAGAAGAAGAAGAAGAAGAAGAAGAAGAAGAAGAAGAAAGATAGACAGACAACAGACATCCCCACTACATAACCTAGGCTTGCCCCAAACTTGTGCCCATCCTGCCTTACCCTTCTGAGTGCTAGGATCACAGACATAGGCTGTCACACCCCCTCCTTCTCATTTTGCCTTATGTGATATATGAATATACAGAATAATCTCCCTGAAAGATATTGACTGCAGTGTTGAAATCTTCCACCTTTGTGCTAAGAGCGTTTGTTTGTTTCTCAGTGTTTCCAGTGTTTCTACAATGAACATGAGCAGAGAGAAAAACTAGGAATTAAGAGCATCTTCTAAGAAGAAACACAAGACCATTTTCAAGTCCAAGACTCAATTTGCACATGGGCACAGTAAATGATTCTGTGATTTTGTTTTCAATTTACTTTCTCGGTATTGTACATGCAGTTTTGTTTTTCACCTCGGTAGCTGTGTCTCACTGCTAAGTTACCTATTCCTTTTAGTTTCTATTTTCCACCTTTCCAAGGCAAGCACCAAATTCCAGCTTGAGGGTGTTTGTTGGTTCTATAATTGTATTATTTCTTCCTAGTCGTTTTTCTAACAGTGGCTTTCTAATTTTCATCAGAAACACCACTTCTCTTGAGTCCCCGACATTGATCATCCCTCACCACCACAGGACCCGCTCAAAGCCTCAGGGTGTTTCACTTTATCTTCCTGAAGCAGTGGTTTTACTTGGATGTGGGTCATAGATGTCATTATCAGAGCAGAATAAGCATCGCACTATACAGTCAGTTGAAAATTCCCATCACATTTAAAAGCAAAATGAGAGACAATTCAGTGCAGAAGCTCACGAGGCTTATGGCAGACCTTTCCCACTCTACCCCTGAGAACACTAGATATGTCCATAAGAACCTCACTATGGAAACATTTGAAATGTGCAGACCTACGGCATCATCTCTGACTGAGCCACCATTAACCATGATTATTCTCCCACAGCCTTGGATAAGCCCTCACCCTTAGGACTGTCTGCACACAGCCATCTTTTGATTGGGAACTTCGTGTCTGAGGCAAAAACAATACAAGCCACAGTACTCTTCCAAATACTGGTATTTGAAAGGTGTGTAATCCCAAAACATAAAAGTGTTAAAAGAAGAGAACAGTTACAAGACACAACTTAAACACCCACCAACTGCTCAGCAGGAGATGCTCTGTACAGCTTGGGCAGCAAAGTTTATGCCATTAACATCTGCAGCCATGGCCAGAAGAGACCTTTCCTGCCTTTTGAAGATCAGTTCAAAGGCTGTAAAGCCCTAAGCTGTATACATTTAAAATTGAAATACAATGAAATAAAAATACGCTGAGGAAAATCCTGGCAGTAATCTATGATTAGCCTATTTTAGACCTACACTGACATCATCTATAGGAAAAGAAAAGATTCAGAACTCTGTATCCATTGTAATATGTGCAAGAACACATAGCCATTAAAATGGCCTGTAATGAAAACAATCTCCATTATGAAAATTAATCTAAATAGTCTTCTCCAGAGAGCACACCAATTGATTATGCCAAATGGTCATCCCTGAAAGCATACATACATGTAACATTATACAGGCTAAGCAGGTTGTACTTATATATTTAAGAACATGCATGCATGTGTGTCAGAGTGTGTGTGTGTATGTGTGTAACAACATTGTAAGAGCAATCAATGAAGAAAAAGGACATGAATTTGAAAGAGAGCAAGGAGGAATATGTGGGAGGAAAGGGAAGGGGAGATTATGTAATTTTATTTTCATCTCAGAAAATAAAAGAAATAATTTTAAGAAATTGAAATAATGTGAGATAAATTTTAAGAGATAATGTTGAAAGAAAAAAGTTCTAATAGGTGAAATCAACTTTCCTAAGATGTACTGTTTATACACCTAATTAAACTTGCAAACATGTCCTATGTTTCCAACCTTTAACACTTAATGCAATACTACTTAAATGCAATAATACTCTTAGCATGTCTTTCCCATAGCTTGAACAATGGTATCACTTGCTAGGTGGTGGAAACACTAAAATGGAACACTAATGTTTAAGTGAACAATATTTAATTTTCACTTCAAAGGGTTCAGGAGCACATGGATTACCTATTTTGTTTTGTGCTCTGCGGTGTGACTTAAAAAAAAAATTAACCCACAGGACCAAAATTAAATTACCTCCTTTGAAAGCAATGGTAAGGAACTGGTTACTTTACATTCAATATGCTGTTTTCTAATATATATATATGTAATAGCCAGACTCAGGAAAGGTCTATTAAATTAATTTTTCTACCTTGGTACATATATTTTGGTGAAGAACAAAGTGGGGATATTTCATTGCAAGAAAGCAGTCTCATCTAACTTTATAAAAAGTTCATTAAAAGGCTTCATCCACTAAATAGCAAAAAACGTGCCAAATCTGAATTGACATGCCAATAATTCTGCTTCTGGGTTCACAAAGCAAACATGAAATAGAGTTTTGCAATCGTCCTTGAGCTAAATCAGGAAAAGTAACCACTTTTATTTATCACGGAGTATTATATAGAAGACACACTCAATGTACGCTTGATGACTTGCAGCAATGACTAGACCTGATCTCTGTTTCACGAAATACATTCCTGAGATCAGTAAAGATGTAGGAGTAGTCACATCAATTTATTCCAGAAACGTTTGAGCATTATTAGCGTCGGGCACATCACAGTGAATAAATGTGACAAAGAATATGACTTTGTTGGAACTCAGGTTTTAGTTAGAGTGTAGAAAAGTTATAGATAACAAATAGATAAATAAATAGATATTAGTTAAGTCAACTGTATTTCATGTTAGTGGTAAATGCTTCGGGGGAAATTGACTAGGAAGAATGGAAGTGGATTTAAGAATACAGGTAAGGAGGAACGCCTCCAGGGAGGAGAACTCCTCAGGAAAGAGTTAAAGACACTAAGTCACAAAGCAGTCTGAGGAAAAGGAAGTAGCATGCACCTGGGCCCTGATCAAGAATCTCAAAGAATGGCAAAGGGGCCAAGGTGGGTTGGCAAAGGAGATTAGAAAGAGAAAGACCTAGAGGGCTTATCACAAAAGGTCACAGCAAAGAGTTGTATCCCTTGAAAGGGCTAGAAAAACATTTGAATTTGAAGGGCGACTTAGATTTTAACAGGTTGATTATGACTGTTCTGTGGACAGACAAGAGAAGAGGGAGAGGAGGATCGAGGGGTTGAGAAGCTGTGCTGGTAACAAGGTCCCTAGGTGATTCTTAGGCATAGAAAAAAATTCGGAGCTATGGTTTAAAAATCATCTAAGCAAATGAGACAATAATTAGATTAGCTTTACAGTCTGTTGATGTGATAACCACCAATCAATCGCATGATTGTGTTCATGGAGAAACTGGGTCAAAGTCGCTTGGACTAAATTCAACTCTGAGCCTGTCAGTTTGGTCCCTTGATCCCAATACTTTGGGAAGAGAACTCCAGAGGGATCCGTCTTACTGTACTATGACAAAAGGATACCAAGGCGAGGGAGAGATTTTTCTCTTTCTCCCCAGAGGAGACTAGATCTAATGCAAGCACACGATGATGGTGACATATTTCATAAGGTAGTTCACAAACATGACAGATTCTATCTTCAGCTAAAATATAGCCTATGAGCAGAGGATTTCTTAATAGTTTAAAAAAGATTTTCCTTTTCTTTTTAAATGGAAGAAATAGACACTTTATGCTATTCTAAACATTGCAACACAGATCCTAAATGTATGTATGTATATGTGTGTGTATATATATATATATATGTATATATATACATATATATATATTGCTACCTACATATTCTTTAATATATATTCTGAACACACATGTCAACATTTATGATTAATCTGTATCCTAATACCCTAATGAAAATCAGTTTTCACAAAATTTTGATAGTTTGTAATAACAACAACTGATATCTGTATACTATTTTATAAATGAGACAATAAGGAGACACAGAGGACTCTGTGTAAATTACACCTAAAAGTTTCTTTCTACTTTATAGTTACACTGTGCACATACATACACATATACCGACAGAATTACTTAGTTTATAGGCAGAGAACATTCTATTTGTTTTTCAGGGGTTTTTTTTAGCACCTCTAAATTCTTTTAGATTCTCCCTTATTTTTCATACGAGGTGCCAGTTGGACAACTGACTGAGTAGTCTAGAATACAACATCAAAGAGCTATTGGGCATTTTATTGTTTTGTGTATTTGATTTCCTTAGCTCCACAAGAACACCAAACTGTAAATGTTACAAGAAGATTAAGTGTTGATAACTACACAGGAATTAAATATATCAAAGCGAATTTACTGGCCCACTGACTCACTTTCCCTGAGGGCATTTATAGTCTGCTAGTTTCCACTGAACACCATTTCCCTGAAGTATCCTGTCACTTAAAACTGACTGGATGTGAACTCTTGCAAAGATACATTGTAAGGTGAATCTTTAAACAACATTCGTGTTTTAGCAGTGTGCTCTGTTGCCCAACTAAGAGTTATTCTTTTGGTTACGGTCCAGGTAGTTAACTACAAATAATAGATTCAGCTTACCTTCTAGGATAGAAGATGCCTCTAGGTGCTGAAGCTTAAGGCCATTGTCTAATCTTTGAGGTTTTGTGTACAGAAATAAATAGCAAAGGACACAGACGCTGATGACAAAGGCAAGTAAGACGAGGGCAGCGATTCCCAATCCAATCAGAGCACCAATGCTGGGGAAACAGAAAGAAGTCGTGTCATCTAAACTGCTGTGCACTCAAGCTGGACCAAACAATTCACCGTTCCTTCTTGCTCTCATTAATTCATAACCAAATTCTGTCTTACCACAAACTATACAGGATTGAAATTTTCATCTTGAATTCCTGTAACATTTTGTCTATTGTATTTAAGTATCTTTAAAATTTGTATGTTAATATTAGTATGACATCTATGAGATAGGTCAAAGGTCACATGAGTCTTCATAAGTATCTCAGTCCAATAAATCAAGTTAATCAAATAAATACCACACCTTAGAAAGAGCAATTTTGCAAGCAAAAGATAAATAGGAAAATACTTCCAAAAGTCAGAAAACATATATATCAGAGATATAAAACTTTTCTCTTAGAGATATGAAAGATACCATTTATTAATATACTTCCAAGGGCCAGCCTCAGCTTGAAGAGGGGTTCTAAGGAAAGGGGTGTTTAGGAGTCATGAACAACTCAAAGTCAATCGTGGGGTACAAGCTGACAGCCTTGTGTTCTGCTCCTGCTGGCTCTCTAGATGGCTCATAAAGATAGCTCAACTCTCGAAGATCAAAGCCCAGTCTTTTATTTACGTATCAATTCAATTGTCCACCCCAATTTTCCTTTTGATTATCAGCATTTTATGATTTTATCCTTTTGATTCTTAGAAAAAGACAGCAAGTACGTTTTTAAAAACATAATAATAAATTCAGAGATTTGCCTAACTTAGTATACACAGATAATAAGCTATCCTGGTGAGGTCTGACTCTGATATCACCATTCCCACCACCCTGGGCCTAAACTATCTCTGTCCCAGGCTGACCTTGAACTCAGGAATCTGCCAGCTTTTGTAAGCACAAACAATAAACTTAGCTGGGTGGGATCTTGCCCCATGATCACCACTCCCCAAATCTCTTTATCTCCTTCCTTAACATCTTTCTGACAAGTTGGCTTATAGTGTAGCTACCTCTATTCTTCTAGGTCCAGAAAGCCCCTCATATAATTCATATTGTATCCTTATATTTTGCATAGTTGAGAAATTCTGGTTATATATTTTCAGAGTTCTTTCCCACAGCCTTAAGGGTTGTCCTTAAGGTCTCAGCATTTGCCATTTTTGCTGAGGACATTAGACATACCCTTGCCTCTTGGACTCATGCTGTCTCTGATTATCATGGATTCATTAATTTTAGCAGGGAGAACATTCTTCAATAACCTTTGCAGGGAGAATATTTCCTGAAGGAGGAACATAAAGTAAATTATGTTCATTATTATACAAACAAGACTTACACATAGCAACCATCAACACTCATGGAGCCCCATGCCTTGCTGGCTTTGCTCCAGGGATAGGAACCATGTCACATTGTCCCTTCCATGGCCATGCAGGACTTGACTATATACAAAGCCACAACCATTGAAAAGAAAAGAGAGTTTAGTTAAAAGAAAACTGGTGTATCTGAAATTCAAGTCTGAGATTTTCCTGTCTAGCACCAGGAAAGAAACCCATGTGCCTTTCTCCAAAAGTCAAATATGCACTCAATTGTCATTTTCTCTACAACTCCTTTGTAATAATTCAATATGTGGTTACACATATGGCTAGACACTAAAGTAGCAGGGCTTTTTTTTTTATAAACTTGTGCACTTAGTACTATCAAATAAGAGAGGGAATTTGAAAAGGCAGCATCATGCTGAACTGTAGCAGACTTGTGTCTCTCGAGACATGTGTAAACAGCCATAATTAGATGTTAGGCCACTCAAGAGCAGACTTCAGTTAGTTGTGAACACTTTAAGTATTTACAGGTGTTTAGTTTGTAGAAAATATCCAACAGATGAAAGTAAATATTAATTAACTTATGATTGAACTGCCTGTAGCAATTTGGAATGCTCATCACTGAGAAATAATGATCTCAACTTCATTATTTTCCTAGATTGTCTTCAGGCTTCTGCTTTCTCTAAGGAATTAGGCCCCTGGCAAGCTTGACTTTAGCAAAAGGAAGGAAAGGGGGAATTTGATCGGGGACACTAGGAGTGTCACTGCTTTGGGAGAAGGAACAGTATTGAAGGGAACAGGCTGTTTACTCCACTCTCAGTTGATCTGATGCGATAAAACAGGCTTGCACACAAGAGCTTGTCTCCCGAGCTGCAGACAACATGGATACAAAGTCCCAAATTCTCATGCTTGATTTATTAACTGTCCCAAACAGCCCTGCATAGAGGGAAAACTGGGGAATTGTATGTCAGAGTCTAAACAGAGTGATATATTTGAACCTGGAGGCTGCCATACTGGTTGCCCTTTGCTCTAATAGGATTAGAGAGAGAAAAAAACAACCTTTGCACCTTGTATTCTGCAGACTGTGTCAGGGAGGGTTAGGTTCATTTTCCAATACACAGACATGTAAGAATGTAATACATTTAGCATTATTTTGTGCACAAAGCAGATAGATGAGGCATCTGGACAGATTCCTGAAATGAAGAAACCCAGTTGCTGAAAAATAATTTTCAAAGTAAAAAGTAACTTAGTAAATTAAAATGTGCCAACCTAGTGAGACTGAGCATATATACCATACATATTTAATGCACAAGGTTTTAAGACCACACAGTGTGGAGGAAAACCCAAAAGGCGTGTTAACTGTGCTGCAATGACATGGCTCCATATTACACAAGCATTGCTTTGTCCTTAAAGACCATCATGGAAAGACGGAGATCCCGGAGTCTCTGAAGTTGGTCGTGTCAACAAATACTTATTCAGCATCCATCTGTGAATGGCCCTGCCAAATAAGCCTCATTTTCTGAAGTCCTGGAAAAGGTTACTGCAGTAGACCCTTTGAATTTAGGGACTTAGAAGAGGAGAGAAGAAAAGAAAGGAGCAGACACTGGAAAGGGAGAGTCGTCCGTCTTCCTAGCATTCCACCCACAGAGGATGCTTTCCCAGCTGTTAGAAAGTGTCAGAAGCTGCCAGCACATCCATACAACCTTAGCACCTTCCCTCCCCTCAAGGTAGGTCTGGCTGCCTGTCCCTAGCAGCCATGGAATCTCATTTCCAAAGCTAGCGACTTCTGTAATATGTTTCGCAGTTGGAGTATTTTAAATTAGGACCGAAGAACAAAGAATAGAAGAGAAATGAAGCTCTCATAAATTTACCCTCCTGTGGTGTTTCCAGAGCTCGGCAACTCACAGGAACCCTGGTTCAATGTTGCCAACTGATGCCCTCAGTTAATGTGATTTTCCTATTTCCCCGACACTGGGCTAACTGTCCATTTTGTGCTGATGAAGGTAGACCCAGCATGCTTCTCACCACTTTGTGATCTCACAAACCTCAGGAAGGTTTTGTGGCCCCTTCTGCTTGTCACTGTGGCATTTAGAGATCTGAGGATCTTGGGCACTATTTCCAATAGAGTTTGATTTGGGCATTGCCAGGCTCAGTTGGCACTAATTCTATCCTCATCAACACCTTCAACACTCACAGATGAACGACTGAGCTTGTCTGGAAAAGGCCAGATAACAGGGCAGTCCATCACTTTCCTACCCCCAAATAATTTACGGAAGATAAGTTGTCTTACTTCAGCATAACTTGGTCAGGGGACTTCCTGGGAGGAAGGTGTGCCTTTTGAAACTTCATTGAAGTTCTCAATAGAGAAAAATAGTTCTTGTTTTATTGCCTCAAGAAATAAGTTTGCTATTGATCTGACATGTGTGCCAAATTCTGGATTATAATGAGAGTGGGGTGATAGTACTGTACTCTTGCTAGGTAGTTCTCTCTCTCTCTCTCTCTCTCTCTCTCTCTCTCTCTCTCTCCCTCCCTCCCTCCCCCTCCCTCCCCCTCCCCTTCTCTCTTACACAACACACACACACACACTTTCCTATAATATTAATACTCCATTCATTCTGTAGACAAAAGAAAAGAATCAAATTTAAAGTTTCAAAGTTTGCAGGCTTTGAGGGGGGACGTTTCATCATGAAAACATGCACAAAGAGGAACAGAAATAAGGAAAAATCCCACTGTAGAAAAGAAGCAAGAAAGGCTTGTCTTTGAAGGTAAAGCCTCCAGACATCAAACGGTTCAGGTGCGGGGTTGTGGGGGGGGGTGTCCAGAAAGGCTGCGCTGTGTGTGTAAGCAGAGCAAACCAAGCTTTTCCTTCCATGCTTGACACTTCAGTCCGGCTGGGCAGTGTCAGTGTCCAAACCTCTGAGAAGAGCAAGTTGTAAAGCCCAGTTGTATGTATGTACTTACTCAAACCAGGGTGCGCATGTGTGTGTGTGTGTGTGTGTGTGTGTGTGTGTGTGTGTGTGTGTGTGAGAGAGAGAGAGAGAGAGAGAGAGAGAGACAGAGAGAGAAACAGAGAGAGACAGAGAGAGAGACAGAGACAGAGAGACAGAGACAGAGAGACAGAGAGGCAGAGAGGCAGAGAGGTAGAGAGGTAGAGAGACAGAGAGACAGAGAGACTCCGGCTGCTCAGTGACAGTGACTCAAAGTACTCCTCTGGTCCTTAATGCCTTAACCTGGCTTCCAAAGAATCCTCTTTTCCATTCAAATGTACCAAATGAACAAATACCTAAAGAGGAATTAAAAGAGGAATTAAAACCTCCAGGCTTGTCAGTAAAGCCTCCAGCTCATCGCGCAAGCAGTGGTCCCGGGGTAGGCTGAGATGTATACAGGGTGCCCACTTGTCTCCAGGGTTCCCTGAAGGGTTACAATTCAGAAGGCACAGGATCTGAACCCAGAGGGTGCTGGGTGACCTCCCTGATTCCAGCTTTGTGTCTTCCATTGGTCACTTTCCCAGGTCTAGGAGGAGGTCACCTTGCCCTGCCCTGCCCTGCCCTGCCCTGCCCTGCCCTGCCCTGCCCTGCCCTGCCCTGCCCTGCCCTGCCCACCTGAGGCTCCACATGTAGCTGTGCTTGTAGGGGAAGTAGCTGCCCGGCTCGCTGCAGCAGTACTTGAGGTCTGCGAAGCCGCAGCAGTAGAGCAGCGCGGCCCCGTCACCACGCCGCGGGCACTGGAAGGGCTCCACGAAGCTGCGGTTGAGGCTGTAGTAGCCCGAGCACAGGCGGCTGCTCTCGCTCATCGCGGGCGGCCGTGCGCAAGGACCCCGAGGTGCGTGCGATGTGCTCTCCGACTGCGCTCGTCCCAAGTCCCTGGCGACTCTGGGCGCTCCTGCGATCTCAGGTCCGAGTGCCAGGCACTGAGCCTCTGAGCCTTCTCGGCTCTACCTCCCGCTGTCCACGCGGTGCTGGAGCGCTCTGCTCTCACTGCTGGGTCTCGTCTCTGAGTGGTCCCTTTCTCTGATGGCCCAGCCCTCTGCCTCTTCTCCCTCCCCGAGCCCCGACTGTTTTCTTTGCTCTCTGCGGACTCCCTTCCTCTTTCAGTCACTTCATCCACAACCTGTGATAGTCTTCACTCCACATCAGAAGGATCTCTTTAGAAGGAACAGCGGAGGTGGGCATGGGTGCAGTTTACACAGGTATAACCAACGTGTCATCTTTGTTGCCCAGTGACAGGGCGAATAGAGTCTGGCTCGCAGAGGCTTTACCTGGGTGGACTACTGATCCAGGCTGGGGAGCAAGCTAGTAAAAAGGCCTTAGATTAGCTTTAGTGAGAGCACAGGGTGCTCAAAGTCAAGTAACAACATTCTCTCAGAAAAACTAACTGCGGGTGTTTTTAAAACATATAGCGGCACCCCCACGGTCACCCAAACTACATGGAAAAGGGAGGAAAGGCAAGAGATGGTGGAAAAGAAAGGAGAATCTTCTAGGAAGTGAAGCAGAAAGGGAAGGACCTTCAACCACTTCTGAAGTGAAGAAACCACTTTTCCCTTTGATTGTCATTTTCCTAAGTGATTTGTCCAGTCTTTTGAAATAACAGTAGTGCTGTGTGCTTGTTGTAGCAAGTCAAACAATACCGAGGGAGTTAAGAACAAAAATAACAATAGCTTCAACTCGAAGCTAGCGCCCACAGAATTTTCAGGGCAGAGCATTGTTCCTTTTCAAGTTCCGCTTCCTTCCTTTTGGCCAGGGGCTTGATTGTAAGGCAGATGTCATGAACTTGTGTGCCGGATATTTTCATATTGTTATAAAATATTCCTGAGCTATGCTCTGGGACACAGTTACTTGGAGACAGTTTGATTCTTTCCAGTTTGTTTTTAAGCTTTGTTAGGCAGGACCAGCATGGACTCGGAGACTAAACTTTTCCCTACTGAGACCAATACTATCTGAATATTCTACTCCATACATTGGGAATCGCAAAGCTTACCAGTAGTGGCAGCCCCTACCATCTCCAGACCTGTAGGAACTCAGAGGATTGTTCTCTCTACTCGTTTCAGTGTTTCTTTTCCCAGCCTCAGACAGCTTCCTCCCCGATGTACACAGATCAGTACTAAGTACGTCAGCTGTCCCCTCACCCCAATTCTCTCTTCCCCATCCACGTTCTGATACCACCCATGGCTTCCCTGGATTCTCAGCTTCACGTTCTCAACTCAGAGCCAACCAGACTCCAACTGAACTCTCACGCACTCTGCATAGTAGGTATGCTTTCCACAGTGCGGAGGAGGGTGGGTAGGAGGATACTCACAAGGCTTCCCTTACCTGTCTCCACATAGACACCACTGTCCTGCAGTATGTCATATCTATGGCCAGGACCCATTGTGTCATATTTTTTGTTTCTTTTCTTGTCTAGAGATGGGAATTCAATCTGGTTTCTAGCATGCCACAGACTCAGCCAGAGATTGGACCCAATTTAGAAAGGTCTGGAGTTGGTCTCTCATAGAACTGCAGTTCCATCACATATACAGGAAGGCAAAAGAAAGTGAGAGAGAGAGAGAGAGAGAGAGAGGAAGAAGAAGAAGAAGAAGAAGAAGAAGAAGAAGAAGAAGAAGAAGAAAGGAGCAAAACGCAAAGGTTTGACTAAGTGTTGATGGCTTTGTGATTTTTATTTGAGTTCTTTTTTGCACCTTTCTACTCTTGACTCAAGACCAAAAATGTCCCTTTCTGGTAAATATGCCTTCAAATAATTTTAGTTTTGAGACTGGATTCAGTGGGCTTTGAACTTGCTATGTCACCAACGGTAACCTTGACCTTCTGGTAACTCCTGTCTTGTCCTCCCCAGTGTTAGGAAGGCAGGCAAGCACTGCTATGTCATTTGTACATGTATCTAGTAGGATGTGCATAGGTATCTAGTGTTGGGGGTTGAACACAGGGCTTTCTGAATGCTAGGCTAGCGCTTGCCAACTGAGCTGTGTCTACAGCCCTCTCGTTGGTTTCTGCTACAGACAGACATTACAACATGGTAATCAATGATGGACCACATATACAGGAGGTAGGGGAGTCCTGTGCCATTTTATTGCCTAGTGACATTACAGCAATCTTAGCTTGTGTAAATACACTCTATAATGTTCACACAACAAAGTCAATTAGTAAGGACTCCCAGAATGCTCCATTGACGAGTGGTCGGTAACTGTTGATGCAATAAAAAGTTTCTGCCTCACATCTCAGGATGTTTTCAGGGGAAAGCCTGGGGAGGGAGTGTTGAAATAATAAAATAATGCTCTGTCTTAGTTAGGGTTTCACTGCTGTGAACAGACACCATGACCAAGGCAACTCTTCTAAGGACAACATTTAATTGAGGCTGGCTTACAGAAGGCTGTTAGCGGAATACTGTCTTCCAGGCAGCTAGTATGAGGGTCTTAAAGCCCACACCCACAGTGACACACCTATTCCAACAAGGTCGTACCTCCGAGTAGTGCCACTCCCTGGGCCAAGCATATACAAACCATCACATCCTCCTTAATCAATGGGCATGTTCTATGAAGGAGGGGAAATCAGATGAGCTGACATGTGGGTGCTTGTTCAGTATAAGATGGAGAATGAAGGTTGTGGGAACGAAGCTTGGAGGCCTTCAGGATGGCATGAGGAGAGCGTACACTGCCGGAGCTCAGTCTTAGATGACACAGCATTCTGGCATAAACTCTCTGACAATGAGTGTTCAGTACAGAAGGAGAAGAAAGAACAGCAGAATTGGTCAGGAGATTCTCATTAACACAAGCACCACAGGAACAACCTTTGTCTACACATCCCTTAGATACAGACAAAATATAAAACATGCAGCTGCCAGACTCCAGTCAGCAGGGACTAGCCACAGTTTAAGCCAAAAGAGCAGCTTTTTAACACAGGATTCAGTAGCAGTGTCAAGACTATGCCTTCAAACCAGCCTAGAAAAATACGAGCTGGATATAGCAGCCTGAGTCTGCACCCCCAGCACTAAGGATCATGATTTCAAGGTTGCCCAAGATACATAGGTTCAAGACCCTGCCCCAGACTAGAGAGGGTCATGGATATAGTTGGTAGTAAATGGATTAAGGTGATTGTCTAGCCTCAAAAGGTCTTGGCTCAGCCCCAAACACCACCACCATTGACGATGATGATGATGTAGTGGTGGTGGTGGTGACGGCGGTGGTGGCAGCAGTGGTGGTTGAATGAAATGCCTCCCCACCCAACCCCAATAAGTCTTAGACATTGAAAACTTGGTCCCTAGTTGGTGACTGTTTGGGAAGGATTAGGAAGAGTGACCTTGTTGAAGGAGGGTTGCTGGGGATTCACTTAAGGTTCCAGAAGGACACACTATTCCCAGATAAGGATCTCTGCCTCCTGCTTGTACACCGGGATGTGAGTTCTCACCTGCTCCTGCTGCCACTCTTTCACTCTGCCACTGTGGACTCCAACCATAAGGCCAACTAAACACACTCTTTTATAAGTTGCCTTGGTCATGGTGTTTTATAACAACAATAATAATTAATAATATACATAACAAATAATGTAAAGCATAAAAAATTTTTTTAAAGAAAATGCTAACTTGGCCTGATGTTCCAAGCCTGCAATCCCAGCTACTCTGGAAACCAAGGTAGAAAGACTGAAAGCTCATTAATTGTCTGAACAATTTATTAGGACTCTGTCTCAAAATAAAACACTTTTTTTTAAGGTGGGAGAAGGGTTGGAAGAGGATAAAAGTACGTGCTGTAGGAACCTAATTAGCTACATTCAATGCCCAGATCCCTTGTAAAGGTGGAAAGAGAATTGGTCCCACAAAGTTGTCTTATGACCTTCATACATGTACCGTGGCACACCCACCACCACCTTATCATATAGATACACAGATACATGCACATACAAGATACACACACATACACACACACTAAACAAACAAATGAACAATGTATTTTTAAAGTGGCCTGGGGTGTAAGTCAATGGTGGAGTGTTTGCCTAACACAATGTAGTGCTCTAGGTTCTGTCCCCAAGTGCCACTAAAAACACCAACAGAACATTGAATCATTGGTTTTGACATTGCTTTGTGGTCCCAGACCTGAGGCTTCCCTGGTAGAAGTTCTGACATGGGGTACAATGTGGCTGGCGAAACACTCAAAAGTTATAAGGTACATTTTTTTCTCCTTGAATCTCAGTGAGTCTCAGTAAGAGGGGTACCTCACCTTTAGGGAGTACTTTGGAGATAAAATGTTTGGGGTGGTATGATAACAAGGTATCCTAATGAACTGGGCGCAGCAACACAGAGATACAGGACAGCTTCATGTTGTGCAGAACTGAGGGAAGATGTCTGTGACCTCCATGTGTTCTATAAGACATCATCCAGGTGAAATGCTCGTTTATAATGATCTGTGCCCAGGACCCAGCCTTGTGTTACAAATAAACACAACACACATTTGAATTTTCCAGGAACAAAACTGCTTTGTAAATTGAGGGAAGATGGTTCTTTGTTTGGGTTGGGACTTTGCCAAGAGTTGTTTTCTCGTTCAAGAAAATCATGTGCCAAAAGTAAGACTGTTCAAGGTTTTGTGTTTGCATTGCCAATACTGCCCACCACGACAGGCTGTATGCACACTGTCACTCAACCATGGTTTATAGCTGTTGCACACAGAGTTCATGAATAAGTATTACAGCTTTTAGTAAGCTGTAGTCTCACATTTTCATATACAAATGAGTATTTTACTGTAAATGACATTCATTTCCTCTTTCTATAACAGTAAGATAATTATGTATAGTTCGTGTACTCATTTGCTAG